CTCCTTCAACTTGCCAGCTTTCAATGTACCAAGGGATGAGGCCAAGGTGAAAGCATAGGGTCTTCTTGAGTGTTTGAGTATGTGTCTTGCCCTGAGCATGCACATGGCTTTCTAAATTCCCCCATTTACATAGTTGCTTTTGAATGTCTTAATTTCCCAAAGAAACTCTACCCAGCTTTTGTCTTAGGCAGTCTGTTGTATGTTTCAGCCATAATCTCTGCCTCAGGTGTTTGAGGATTGTTAATTCGGTTTTCAGCATTTTCAAGCTTTTTTCACCTGAGTTCTGAATTAGGCAAAATAGGGCAGAACATCTTGCATCAGAGCCTGCCCCATATTAGTCTGCTTGGGATGCCATATCAAAATATCACAGCCTGGATGGTTTAGACACAAGAAATTTATTTCTCACAGTTTGGGAGGATAGAACAGCCAAAATCAAGGCACCCACCAATTCAGTTTCAGATGAGGATTATTCCTGGTTTGCAGACAGCTGCCTTCTCACTGTGTCCTCACATGATAGAGAGAATGAGCTTTGGTGTCTATTCTTTTTTCTTTTTTTTAAGATTTTATTTATTTATTTGAGAGAGAGAGCATGAGAGGGGTGAGGGTCAGAGGGAGAAGCAGACTCCCTGCTGAGCAGGGAGCCTGATGCGGGACTCAATCCCGGGACTCCAGGATCATGACCTGAGCCGAAGGCAGTCGCTTAACCAACTGAGCCACCCAGGCGCCCTTTGGTGTCTATTCTTACAAGGGCACTAGCTCTACTAGATGAGGGTCTTATCCTTACGGCCTCTTTTAACTTTTATCACCTCTTTATAAGCCCTAAAATTACACTGGGGTTAAGGCCTGAACATATGAATTTTGAGAGACACAATTATCTATAGCAGCCCCAGATAGATTAGAACAGACATCGTAGTAATCTCTGAACAAGGTCAGTTTGCTCCCTTCAGAACCAGGGAAACAGCACACATTTAAATACAACTTAAAAGGAATGAGGGGAAAAAAGATATCACAACATGCAGCTAAGATTTGTAAGTCAGTTAGTTCTTTACAATAAAAGAAGTAGCATACACATTTATAATTTACTGCTTAGGGATTTTAAACTAAAGCCAGCTTCACCTATTCCATTTAAAACAAATGCTTTCTGCTCTTGTTGAACCACGAGGGAAAACAATTAAGGAATATTTTGATTCATATTCTAGGAAACTAGAGAAAGTCAGGGTAAGTAATCCCAGAGAGCCCAATCTCATAAATTGAGAATCTTTCTCTAGAAGACACAAGTTCCTCAGTGCAACCGTGGCAGTCTCTGCTTTCAAGCTAATATGTTGTGAGTCATGCTGAGTCCTCTTCCCTTGAGGTTAAAAGTATTTCCTAAACTTTCTTTTTTTTTTCCTTATCTTCTCCTCTCCTCCGTTCTCTACCTTCATCCCCTTTACATGTCTATCAACTTAGAAAATAACATTAGCCTTTCCAACTGTTTCAAATCTTGGTAGATTTTGTGAAGATGCAGGTGTAAGGAATAAAAACTGTTTGGAAATGCTCTTTTAGTTTCTGTAGGATGAAAGTACTTTATCTTGGCAGGTATTTTCAATATGAAATGAGAAGCCCTGCTTGAAAAGCACACCATCACCAGAAAAGAAAGCTCTGTCCTTTTTTCTAGAATTCTTCTACTTCCTATTCAAGTTAGTAAAGATGGTAGGTAGCGGGGGTCATCTACAACTACAAATAACCTGATGTTTAGTTAAGCCAGTAGTTAAAATCGATGTGGAGTCATACTGGATACCAGAAAGCAAGAAAGAACAATACAATAAAACCAGGGAATTTGGATAATTCACCCACTACATATTTTCTTGCTGTTGGGTGCAATTTTGCTTTAGGATAAACTCTTAGACTCAGACCAACTTATTGGTTAAATGTATATTTATTACTAAGTATGCTTAACTACCACTATTACCACAAAGAGGGGCACACACCCAACCGCAATTACAAATTAATTCATGGAAAGGAAAAGGAGGCAGTTATAATTATGTATTCTTTTTAAAGTGCAATAAATTTTCAACAGGCTAATAAAATGAGATCTGACATATAATAACCTACCATCCTGCCATACTCCTAAATCTTAACTGCTCACTATGAATGATGCTAATATTTTACAAAGGTACACAGTAAAATCAGTAATAAGTTATCACCTCTTGAAAGAAAACTCTTCATAGTATACACATCTAAAATATTTAATACTTAATTGCTTAAACATACAATAGGATCTCATGAGCCTAATGTAATTAAAAGAACGTCCATGCTTTTCAATTACACTGTCACATATAATCTGATTAACCACCTTTTGAGGTAGGTTGGGATTATTTTCCACAATTTACAGATATGAAAATTGAGATTTAGAAGGTTTAGATGACTTGCCATGGGCCACTCAGCTAATCAGTGATAATAGCGGGAGCACTATACAGGTCTCAAGGGTTCCACTGCTCTATTCACTATATGTTTCCTCCAGGATTGTCAATGTTTAGATTTTAGTAAGATCCACAATTGATTTCTCTATGATCACATCAGAAAACCCTTATATAACACAGGTGTCAGGGAGCAAAGATAATACCAGCCTTGTATGCTATCCTTTAAAGTGAAAAAATATATATTCTACTTCACTGAATTGTTTGTTAATTCAAACAACAAATCATTAAACACCTACATATGTGCCAGCCATTGTGCTAGGTTCTATTATACCCAGCTGTATTATTTTCTTTGCTGCATGACAAATTATCCCAAAATTTAATGGCTTGAAACAACAAACATGTATTATCTTACAGTTTCTGTGGGCCAGGAATTTGGGAGCACCTTAATGGAGTGGTTCTGGCTCAGGATCTCTCCTAAAGTCAATAAAGATGTTGATGAGGGAGGCAGTCATCTGAAGGCTTGACTAGGACTGGAGCAGCTGCTTCCAAGTTCACTTACATGGCTGTTGTCAAGAGTCTTTGGTTCCTTACTGACTGTTGGCAGGAAGCCTTAATTACTGATAATGTGGGCCTCTCTATAAAGTTGCCTGAGAGTCCTTAAGACTTGACAACCATCTTTCCCTAGTAAGAAGTCCCAGAGAGAGAAGAAGAAAAAAACTCGTGTAGGTTTTATTTTTTGGCATATGTTTTATAATCTCCTCTAAGAAGTCACACAAGTCTATTCATGAGAACAAGTCACTAAACACAGTCCAAACTCAAGGTGAGAGGAATTAAGTCCCACCGTTTGAAGGAAGAAGCATCAAAGAACTTGTGGACATATTTTAAAACCACTGTATCAGTGAATATAATTTAACTTACAGAATTTAATCAAATTATTATAAAATGATTTGTTAATCTCATTGTAACATTTGGGTATTTAAAGAGAAACTAAGTGTATTGAGAGTGGTTTGTGTGTGTGTGTGTGTGTGTGTGGTTGTTGCTTATTTGTTTCCATTTTGTGTCCCCATTTTTATTTTGCCCTATTAAAAAATTCTACATACAATGCTAAATAAATGCTGACTTGTCCTATCTTGTTCTATCATTAGGAATTGCATTCACTGCTTATAAGAGAAAACCCAAATAACAAAACCTTAAATAGCAGGTATTTATTTTCCCTTACATAACAACAAATCCAGAAATGGGTGGGTCCAAAGCTAATAAGCTAGCCCTCTAACGCAATCACAAAGCCTGGCACCTCTGGCTTCCTACACTGTTAATACTATGTGGGGCTTTGGTTATTATGGTTGAAATATGGCTGCTCCACCTCCAGCATTGTATCATTGTTCCAGGTAAGAAAAAAAAAAATGGGTACAGGTCCAATGGCTAAAAGGACATTTCTTCCATAAAGCTTTGAGCCTCTCCTAACAATATCCATTTTCATTTTATTGATCAGTCACACAGCCAGCCATGGCTTACAGAAATCTGGAGAAGTAAATATTTTTAACTAGACACACTGTCACCCTGAAAAAAATCAGAGTTCTGCTAGTAAGGAAGAAAGGATTTGGGCTTAAACAACTAGCAATGTCTACCAACCTGTTCCAAGGAGCCTCACCACACATTACTCTGCTCCACCAAGCTTCGACACACATTATTGAAACACCACACCAGACGGACAAACGTACTGCCCAAGATTTATGTGTGTTTCAAATGGGAGAATTTAGTCCTTGAGTCCCATATATAAAGTATATTTTTCAAAGTAACTACAACTTTCTTTTTTCTAGTTGATAACATTGAAGAATTGGCTGACATTAATGTCACATAAGGGAGTTTATCAGAGTTGTTTATTATATTAAAAATTTGGAAAAAAAACAAATAGCAATAGAATATTGGTTAGACAAATGATAGTACATCCATTTATCTTTTAAAAATGATGTTAATCATGATATATTGTTCAGTGAGAAAAGAACTATATCCATAATAAAATCCAGTTTATGAAATATTGTGTTTATATGTCTTTATGTGTTTTTTATTCTTTATATCTGGAAGACTACAACATACACTTTAAAAAATGGTTACCTGTAGATTATGGGATTTGGATAAATTTTTGTTGTTGTTGTTTGAATAACTATGTATTGTTTTCATGAAAATAAAAGCTATTTTCAAATACCCAAAATGATGGGAGGGACTTACTTGATCTGGTTTTGTTCGTATCAATAGTGTTTCCTGCCAGTAATTTTCTGAGACCTGCTATGGCTGAACCTATCTTTGGAAGGGTTTCTTATCTTTGCTCAATGGAAAAAACAAAGTTATTCCTTATTCATTAAAAATTTCAATAAAATTAAAATGAGGTAAGGGATCTTGCAATTTTGTTTGTTTTGCTTTCTATTTGGAACACTGTGACCTCTGCAAGGGTCTCCTTTTCCTGTTACAGTGGTTGTGGAAGGGAAGGGGATGAGGCTGGGCAATTAACTATACACAAATTAGAAAAGAAAGAAGAGAATATAAGTAAGGATGTAAGGGAGAGAAGTCTGGAGTATGGGCCAGGAAAAGAGCACTAACCTGAACATCAGGATACTTGCACTTCTAGCTTGGGCCCATCAGTTTATCTTTCTGACCTGTTTTCTCAACTGAAAAATAAAAGGTTTAAATAAGAATCATTAGATGTGCTTAAATTCTTTTGGAAGATTCTCTTGGATCTATTAATGGCATATCATGGCAAACTACACTAGAGCTGAATCTAAACAAAGGAAAAAGAACAATAATAACTTACATACATTGTTCATTATTTCTCTCAGGCACATTAAGTAACTTGCCAAGGTTGCACAGCAAATAGGTGGAGGAACCAAGATTCCAGCCCAGAGCCCACACTCCTAAGGGCTATGCTTAAAGGCACTAAAGAACTGACAGAGAGGGGCTTTTAAAAGAAGCTGGATAGTTTTCTCACCCTCAAGCTAAGGCATTGTAGATGATGTTAAAGCCAAGACCTTATCCCCACCTCCTGACTGCTGTTGGGTTGCCTCAGGGGCTCACAGGCTCCTCCCTCTAACCAAAAACACTTTCTGATTCAAAGTCCTTTAGCCAACTAAAAGGAAGATGATTTTTGGAAAACCCTAAGGAAGGTCTTCCTGTTATTGCCTGACAGAAGCGAAGTAACGACAGACCAAACCACGTGTGATACGGAAGGCTTTGTGGTACCACTGTTTTCAACCCTTTCGGGTTCATGTATCTGGTTACCCAGCACCCGTTTGCATACCTCATCTTGCTGTATTTATTTAGGCCAGAGAGATACTGACTACAGAGTACGGGGGGGGGGGGGGAGGAGGGGAGTGGGGGTCAGGAGAAAAAAGAACGGGAAGCAGGCTAGAGGCCAAAAGACTTCTGCAGGGTTAGAGCCTGTCCCTCACACGGAGGTCCTCAGGTACCTCTAGCCTCAGTCCCTGTAGTTTCACTGCTTTAGTTTCTCTTCAAAGTCCGGAAGCTAATGCAAAACCCTACAGCAGAAGCAGGAAGGAGAAGGCCAACAGCGAGAAGCCGCAAGTGGGCTGCGACTATTGCTCGCAGAACACCCGACTTCCCAGACCGCTTCGCAGAAGGGCGGGGCGTGAGCTGGGCGGCCAATCCCCACGTCCGCACGTCACCATAGCCCCGCCCCACCCTGCCCCCTCTCGCTCCGCCCTTCCCTGGGGCTGGTGCGGCGGCGGAGACGTCAGCGCTAGGAGACCCCTGGGTGGCGGCTGCGCCGTCGGCGGGCCGCGGCCTGGACGCGCTGCGGGGGAAGGGGCGGAGCGAGCGAACGAACGAGCGGGCGGGGGGGAGGGAGGGTGAGCTGGGTCCGCCTCGGCCGCCGCCAGGGAATGATCTGGGCGGCAGCGGGCGGCCCCAACCAGCGGCTGCGAGCCACTTCTGCGGGTACCGGGAGGAGCTAAGGTTGCCGGTCTCGAGTCGTCCCCCTCTCCGCCCCCCAGGAGGGGCGAGAGGGAGCCGCAGCTGATGTCAGGTACGGCCGGCGGAGGCGCCCTCAGGCTGCGGGTCCAAGGTCTCGGTTCCCCTTGTCCTCACCGCTCGGAGTGTGTGTTTGCGGGAGCGTAGAGGGTGGAACCAAACCTGGGCGCAGCCAAACAGGTGTCTCGGGGTCGCCGCGGGGGCCGGGGACTTGCGGGCTCCTGAGGGAGGCGTGGAGCACTCCTGCCCCCGGCGCCTCTGTGAACTGCCATTGGGGCCGTCTGCCCATCGGGCCGCTAGTTTGTTGACGAGTAGCCTCTTCGTGGTGGGTTCTTCCTTTCTGCCCCCGGGTGCCCCTCACCTCTTCCTCGAGCCTCTGTCCTCCTTTTCGCGCGCTGCCCGCGGGCGGGCGGCGGCCGTGAGGCGCGGGGCTGCGGCGGGTCGCGTTCTGACCACTTAGAGGTCCTGCCCGCCGGGCCCCCGCGCCCCCGGACCTGTGGGTCAGGCGAGACGCAGGGCTCAGGTGTGGGCACCTTCCGCGAGAGCCGCCGGGCTGCGGGGCAGCCGGAGTGCCGGGCGAGTGGGCGTCTACCACAAATGCCGGGGGACTTCCTCGGGGCTTTCTTGGATCATCAGGTTTGTCTGTGGCTGATGTATTTTTTTAAATTTCACTGCATCTGGCCGAATGAGCAAGCCAGGTGCGTTTGACTCACTTGCTGCGTTGAGGGGGAAAAGAGTTTTTTTCTCCCCCCCCACCCCCCCCGCGAGTGTGATGTGAGTAGTAGGTGCTGACAAGTTGGCCATACAGCTTTGAATTTGGAGAAATTGTATACTCTAACAGAAGAACGTAATTTGGGAATGGGGATTTAGTCTTCCCTAGCTCGTACTCTCTTATTTTTAAAAATAATAAACAAGCACCACATGCTCTGGAAAAGTTGATTGGCTTTATAATCTTGTTCTCTAAGTTCGTTATAGATATTGTAGTATATGTTTTTAACGCTTTTCAATTTGGAAACTATTATGCTAACCATGAATTGACTTCATTATGAATTAGAAAGTTATAAAGGTAGAACTTTAACGCATTAAAGTGAATAATTAGGCCAGTGTGATTGGGACAGAAATATGTTCATTTACTGAAAGTTAGGCACAGAATATAGGTAGGTCGGCCTGGGTGCCAGGAAAAAGCGTTGTGCATGATTTCAACTTGTTTAATTTTGGTGTAGGTTTAGACAGTGGGAACCTGAATCTTTAGGAGATATTTAGACAGCTCTCCATACCTTTAGCGGATAAATGTCAGGTGAACCTTATGCACATGATGTTGTGTGTTCTAAGTATTGTATAAAGTAAACTATATATACTTATTTTCCACTAGCCTTAGTATATATTGATGTGCACTTTAAGTGAATATAAAGTTTCAAGTTACCAAACAGTTAACTCTTTTCACCATATGTTAAGTAAAACAGTGATTTAGTAAGGAAAGTATGACTCATTTAAAATTCTTCATAGGAAAAGAGCATGGTTTTTCAGTATTCGTGGAGAACTATTAAATATCTGTCTTAAATTTGCCTGTAATTTGTGTTTTTCTGTATCTTTTTATTTAGGCTTCCTCATTTTAAAAATATTTTGTGATTAATACCCATTGAGGGATAGATATGGTTTGTTGTTTTTTTTTTAAAGATTTTATTTATTTGACAGAGAGCGAGAGAGGGAACACAAGCAGGGGGAGTGTGAGAGGGAGAAGCAGGCTCCCCGCTGAGCAGGGAGCCGGATTTGGCGCTCAATCCCAGGATGCTGGGATCATGACCTGAGTCGAAGGCAGACGCTTAATGACTGAGCCACCCAGGCGCCCCTTGATATGGTTTTTCTTAAATATGCTATTTTAGGGGGCATAGGTTAGTAGTACGTACAGTGGATTAATTTTAATTTTCACCCAGTCATAGAAATACAAAACTGTGTCATTTAGGCATATGCAATTTACTATTTGTATATTGATTTGTGCTAAGATAAAAATTGCATCTTACAGCTTATAAACCTTGTAAACCATGGTAATTTAAAATAGAGTCTCTGGGGACGCCTGGGTGGCTCAGTCGGTTAAGCGACTGCCTTCGGCTCAGGTCATGATCCTGGAGTCCCGGGATCGAGTCCCGCATTGGGCTCCCTGCTCAGCGGGGAGTCTGCTTCTCCCTCTGACCCTCCCCCCTCTCATGCTCTCTCTATCTCATTCTCTCTCTCAAATAAATAAATAAAATCTATAAATAAATAAATAAATAAATAAATAAATAAATAAAATAGAGTGTGATGAAATTATTGATCGGAATTCTTGTGACATCGCAGCAGTAAACAAACGTTAAATGGAAAGGGGAAAATTTGATGAAATTAATTTCAGATTCATTTAAAATTTTAAGCTTCCCAATACAACCATGTTACTTTTAGAAGATTTGTTGAGATTGGAATAAAGACACTAGTGTACAAACTGTAACAAGATGGCAAGAAAAGTATGACAAAATTTTTTTGCTCAAAATTTTTTAGGATTAAGGTCATTACTTGAAGGAAGGAAGAAAAGGAAAAAAAAAAAGACTTGTTCTCTAAAAGAGAAGATAGCATTTTATGTTAAATCTAAATGTATATCTAATGTGTACTTAAATTTTCACTTTGCAACTAATTCAAATAGCTAAGGGGAAAATATATACCGGAATGTATAATGTGTGAAAAGTGTTCCTTGAAGAAAAAATAAATAAATAAATTGATATTAGTGAAATAGGGACGCATGTAAGAAGGTAGGAGAAACAAACAAAAAAACTGAATAAACTATCTAGAACCTGTAATATGAACTGCCTTGCACATTGAAGGCAGGGAGAGACAAGTTAAGTTGGAGAGATTCTGAAACAGGCAACCTGATTAGTTTACAACTAAAGCTGTATGGCTTTATGGAGGGAAGATAGTGTTGTATAGACAGAGAAAACAGTAGGAATAGGGGAGCCCACTACATTGGGATATTTAGTGAACTATAGATAGTTCACGATTGCTGAAGAGTAAGTAATAAGGCATGGAGTATCTTGGTCCTTCTATTGGTTTCCTAGGGCTGCCATAATAAAGTACAGCAAACTGGGTAATTTAAAACAACAAATTTATCATCTCAGTTCTGGAGGCTAGAATTCTGAAATCAAGGTGTTGGCAGGGCCATGGTCTCTAGGTTCTAGGGGAGAATCTATCTGTTCATGTCTCTTAGCTTTTCGTGTCACTGGCAGTCCTTGGTATTCCTTGACTTGCAGCTTTACCACTCTAGTCCGTTCTGTGTCTCATCATATGGCATTCTCCCTTTTTTATAAGGACACCAGTCATATTGGATTAGGGTCCACCCTGATGATTTCGTCTTAACTTGATTACATCTGCAAAGACCCTATTTCCAAATAAGGTCCCATTTATAGGTACTGGGGTTAGGACTTCAACCTCAGTCTTTTGGGCGGGGGGGGAACACAACTTAACCCATCACAGTCATATGATTTATCTTATACAGTGTTCGGCAAATTTTTAGCACTATATGGCAGGCCAAATCAGGGGGGTGTGGTAGGAACAGAGAAGGGAACATCTATATATACTTATTTGTCATTTACTTATCTTAGTGCTTACTCTGAACCAGGTTGCAGAGTGAAAGCAAACAGGCAGACAAAAATCTCTGTCCTGGAGGAGCTTGTATTCTAAAACATTGGTTCTCAGAATGTGGTCCCTGGATTTGCAGTATCCACATCATCCTGGAACTTGTTAGGAATCCAGACCTCTTGATTCAGAAACTATTTTTAAAGAAAACTTTCAGGTGATTCTGATGCAGACTCAGGTTTGAGAACCAATGAACAAGATGGAGAAAAGAGACAATAAACAAGATGAGGAAGTAAAATATGTAATATATTAGATGTTAATAGGTGCTGTGGGTAAGAATAGGGTGACCAGGGAAGACCCCCTGAGAAGTAAAGGCCTGAAGGAGTTGGGGAGTAAGCCATGTGAGTATGTAGGTGAGTTGTGTTCCCAGCAGAGAACAGCAGATGCAAAGAGCCTCAGGTGTTTGAGAAACAACAAGGAATCCAGAGAGAACACAGCAAGGGAAACAGTAATAGGTTCAGTTTATGAAATTTCTGTTTGTTCCTTTTTGACCTATAAAAACCAAATACTAGGAGGAGAGATCAGAAAAAGAGTGGGGATAGGATGGCAGACCATTGAGGTTCATCTTAAGGCTTTTGCTTTGTCTCTGAGTGAGATTGGGAAGACACTGGAGGATTTTGAGCAACTAAGTGATACAATCTTTTTAAAAGGATCACCGGTGAAATGGGTAAAAATGGATTGAAGAAAGAAGGATGTAAAGGGAAAAGTTGATTAGGAATCGGTTATGATAGTTGAGGATGGGAGAGGAAAAGAGAGAAAAGGAGGTGACTTGGACTAGGACAGTAGCAATGGAGAGGTTAGAAGAGAGGTACAAGATCAAAAGCATATGAGATGGTAGTGAAAAATAAGGATTTTTTCCCCTCCTACTCTAGTTACTTCAGTTACCTAGTTGCCTGCCTCAAAAGCAACTGATGTTATAATTAGTCTTTGTATATTCTTCCTGAGATACTTTATGTATATATGATAAACTAGGTTTTAACAGTTTAGTAGAGTGGTTCTTAACTGGAGCTGAGTTTGTCCCTCGGGACATTTGACAGTGTCTAGAGAGGTTTTTCGTTGTCACAACCTGGGGAAATACTGCTGGCATCTAGTTAGTGGAGGCCACAAATGCTACTAAACATCCTACGGTGAACAGGACAGCCAATCACAAGAGCGAATTATCCAGCTCAATATGTCATTGGCTTAATGGGAGTTACAGAGGTTGAGGCATAGATGGTGGAGGGAAGATAGTGTTGTATAGTCAGAGAAAACAGTAGGAATAGGGGAGCCCACTACATTGGGATATTTAGTGAACTATAGATAGTTCACGATTGCTGAAGAGTAAGTAATAAGGCATGGAGTATCGAAATATGAGGCTGAAAATTTGGACAGAGTCTAGGTGAAGGAGAATCTATATAT